ATAATGTAAAGTTACAACCTATACGTGAATTAGGTCTGTTTCTAACTACAAGTAACTATAACCACTCGTAACATATGTTTTATGATGTTTTGGTTAACTAAATCAAAACATCATAAAAGCTATGAGAAACTAACTACTTATAAATATGAGAAATTCCAATTAAGACAATAACATTAGTTTTAGGGTACTTAAGTAAATAATAAAAGAAGAATGGTGGACTGCATGAAAGAGAATATGGCTAGAAAAAGAGTAAACAGTGAACTGACAAAAGAAATCAGAGGATGGAAGATGATAATTTATTGTACCAACCCCCAATAAAATTGGGAGAAGGGTAAAAATTAGAAGAAGCAAAGGGGGGGAGAGCGGTTATGTCAACTGAAGATTGTGTGAATTATCCTGTACAGTTATATTAAAATGAATACTTAATAAAGATTTCAAGAAAAAATAGAGGATCGCTCGATTAAATTATGAATTGTATTCGTTTTCTTGTTCTATTTATACTGTTGACTCCTTTAGATTTTTTTATGGAAGAGAGTGCAGACGAGCAGACGGTTCACCTGATAGAAAGTGACTACCGCCGCCCATGAACGCCTACAATGTTGACTGCTTAAGGATGACTACAGTACTGAGGTGGTTATGTACTCGTTGCAGACTTAGAAACGCCGCCAGCAACCCATAAAGGACTTTTTACAGGCCCAAACTCATCTAGAAAATTCTTTAAAATGATACTCTTATAAGGCAACTTCTATGGCTTTAAAGAATTAGAGAGAAAGAATGGTTAGGGGGTAAAATCAGTCTGAGGTATGTCATTAATATGCAGCAGATTCAATATTGGTTCCAGGACAGAGCCTTGTGGAACACCTGCGTAGAAAACATACTATATAAGTTCACGAAATCGGGGCACCTTATACCTGATACGGACTTAAATATATAATTATATTTTGGCTTAAAAGCTTGTTATATCGTAATTGAAGATGGCTTAAAATAACGAAGATTTTTTTAAGGCAATAAAATAAAATAATTATTGCAAAAAATAAATTATATCTGTGATAGACTTTATGGTAAGCCTTTGCGATGTTGAATTTAAATTCCTCAGCTTTGTGAAACATAGAAGTACTACAGTAATACAATATTACAATAGGTTTACAATTATACTAAGTAAAAAATTAATGAAAGTTCAACGGTTAAACAAGTTTTTTTGGAAAACTGTTCCTTCCTTTTAAGGCATCCCCAGAGTGCTGATAACAGCTTAAAATATTTGTTAGAGAACGGTTGTGATAACGATAGATCCACAATTTACAGCCACTAGGATGGCGTAGCGGTTTAAGCAGTCGCCACGCCGCTTACTACTACGCTGAGTGTTGTGGGTCCGATCCCCATACGTCCACATGGGACGACACTTTGTGTGATCCACAAATTGTTGTTCTGAGTCTAGATGTTCTTTATATCCCCTTCCATGTATGTTTGTAAAGTCCCTCGCGACACAGGATATATTATGTTTATCCTGTATATATGTCTAAAAAGAAAAAAAATGGTCCCTCCTCACCCGCCAGAATGGCACAATCATTGCTGGCGGGGACAGGTCTCGTCCGACTACTACCTCCTAGTGATGTTTCTGAGACTGAGTGTTACACAAATTCTATGATAATATGAGAAAAACGCAAACTAAAAGCAAAAAGTAACGGTTTTACGCAAAAAATAGTGTAAAAGCGATTTGCAAGTTTAAACCCAACTATTATCATTCATTTTGTAATGTAGAATCCACAATTTTACATATTATATTAACTTGTCTGCCACTGTTACGAATTCTGTTTTATTAAAATTACTCTTTTAATTATGAAAATAATCTAAATATTACCATAGCTAAATGTTACTATAGGTAAATAAAATAATCTTTTTCATAAAAAGTTTAACTTATAAACAAAATTTATTTACTGTTCATTACTTTTCTGTCTTACGTGTGGTGACGGATTAAGAATACAGAGTGTCACCACCCCTATTCATCCCGTGGGTGTCGTAAGAGCCGACTAAGGGAAAAAACTACGAAGAACAACAGCACTGCAGAGAGAAGGAAAACTTGACACAAACCCTATACCAACCCGTCTGGCCAGCGTGGTATAGTAGGCCAAAACCTCCTTTCTAAGGAGAGGCTTATGTCCAGCAGTGGACTATTAAAGGCTGTTGATGTGATGTGTGATGTGACTTTTCTATTTTACAATAGTTCTTGTAATAACGAAACGGCTAAGCCACATATTTTAACTAAGGTGTAGAGTTTGTGAAGATAGGGCTTGTAGAGTCAGGGCGTGTAGAGTTAGAAGCTAGGCTCTACATGAGATCTGATAACTTTTTAACAGTACGAGTCATATGGTCTCGTTTTGGCAACATTTTACATAAAAAAAAAGTTGTGGTATTAGGATATTAGCAAAAACGAATTTCATAACATGTATTGTGTGTTTCAAATTAAGTTAATATAAAATATCTTTGACTCCTTTCGACACGTTTTTAAATCAAGAAAAATCTAAAAATCTCTATAGATATTTAAAAATATTAAATTGGTTTGTGTACATGTGTACAACTCAAAAAGTTTTGCACCGATAGCTCAGATTTTGACACGATATACAACAATGTCCGTGTGGTGACGGATTAAGAATACAGAATGTCACCACCCCTATTCATCCCGTGGGTGTCGTAAGAGCCGACTAAGGGAAAAAACTACGCAGGACAACAGCACTGCAGAGAGAAGGAAAACTTGACATAAACCCTATACCAACCTGTCTGGCCAGCGTGGTATAGTAGGCCAAAACCTGCTTTCTCAGGAGAGGCTTATGTCCAGCAGTGGACTATTAAAGGCTGTAGATGATGATACAACAATAATAAATATAAGGTTATGAAGTTATGCTAATTTTTAAGATAACTGAATTTAAAAAAATAACTACCTTATTATTTTTGTCTTTTCTAAACTCAACACACTAAGATAATATTTTCCCTCCATGATCATTCTATATTTCTAATATTAACACCTCTTCACTAAATATTTTCAACATAGCAAATGTCAATTACAAATTAAATCTTTAAATACCATATTACACATTGTACTATGTAAGTTTTTCATATATGGTTTATGTTTTAAAACAAGTAGTGCTAAATTTCTCACTTGAAATGCAGTTTTACCAGGTTTATCTATAAACCAAATCTGATCCCTATCATCTGCAAAATATCTTCAGAAACTAAAATAAAATAGAATATATTCATATAACATTATTATTATTTAGCGTGATAGCTATTATAACTTATTTCAGTGTAGGATAAAACCGTTGACCGTTGTCAAAGACAAACTATACAAATTCCTAACTGGTCAAACAAGAATAAAAAGGGCTGGTCTTCTCACACTAAAAAAGTATGTATTGTAATGCAGGATCTTAAATAAATGAATGAACTCGAAGTCCTTGAAAAACTATTTCGGTATACTTGTTACATTTATTTAATACAAGTCTGTGAGAAATCTGAGATTATTATCAGCACGACAGACACATGCCGATCTAGGAGAATTTAAGATGAAATTCTATAATTGGAATTTTACTCTGTTGTGAAGTTAGCTTTAATCAGTCCTGCGCTACTAAAGCGTCATATTGTTTTAGCCAAAAGTTAGCAATTCCTGTCATTTGAATCATCATCATCATCAGCCTATCGCAGTCCACTGCTGCTGCTGGACATAGGCCTCTCCCATTGCACGCCACTTAGATTGATTTTGGGCTTCTCGCATAAAGTGTAAGATAATAAGAAGTAAAAACTTCATCATCATCAACAGCCTTTAATAGTCCACTGCTGGACATAAGCCTCTCCTGAGAAAGGAGGTTTAAGTAAAAACTTAATAACTTCTAATAATTACTTCTTGTTATGGACGATATTAAGCAAATAAATGATTATTATTATTAATATTATTATTATTCTCTCCCTTTAATTTTTTACTTTAGTAATAACTTCTGGTTATTTGTGTCTTTTTAATGAAACAATGTTCAAATATTGTTTTATACTCATCTTAAGCAGGAAGAGTGTAAATTTGATGAGATTGTGTAAAGGAATCATCATCATGATTGAGAGAATGGCGTGCAATGGGAGAGGCCTATGTCCAGCAGTGGACTGCGATAGTAAAGGAATGTCTTCTCCTATTTAAAAGCTACATAACTTCAAATGGGCATAAACTTTTGATTAAAATGGGAGAAATTAGAATGATTTGTAAGAGATAATAAATAAAATGAATGGAAAAATCGGTGTAGACGATATTAAATAAATGAGCTGGATGCGAGAAGCTGTATATCGATCCAAGTGGCGTGCAATGGGAGAGGTCTATGTCCAGAAGTGGACTGCGATAGGCTGATGATAATGATAAAAAAGAAAACAAATGGAGTGTTGTATGTGTTTAAAAGATTAAAAGGTTCAATATTGCAAGAAAAATAGTACAAATAGTATTTCTTGATTAAATTTTTATAGGATTATTTGGAGAAACACAATCATCGTAAAATGCAACTCTACCGTGCTGTAGTAAGCCGTGTAACAAATTGTCTTTGGTCCTTTACTATAGAAGCAGATAGATATTCCCTGAGTGTTCTGCTTTCTATGCAAGAGGTTACTTAAGAAAATTACTAAATCGATAGAAGCGTAAGACTTGTATGTGAATGTACGTATTGTACATAAACTTTCTACCATGTGCTATCGATAAGACTCATTTAAATAAAAACCGATTTCAAACACATAAGTAAATTTGTTTAAATTTTTAATTTCTGGCCCTAGTTGATCCAAAAATGCACACCATAAACCTAGTAGGTACAAAATCATGAAAAAAATTTAAAAGTTTCATATAAAAAAAATGTCAGCCAATAACAGCGACTCACGTGTTCAGCCACCTCACTTTAATCACCGCCTACTCCTGGGCCGAAGGTGTATGACGCCAAGCGACTCGAGCCGGGGCGAACAAACTTGCTAACAGACAAATAGTTTGCTCAATCCGCTCGGGTCGCCTCGCTGTCATTCGGGAGCGGTGACGTCATATGACGGGTCTGATGAGATGCGCGCGCGCCGGCCGCTGCACAACAACTGCCCCAAAACGGCTTAGTGTATGCACAAGTGTTTTCTGAAACAATTGTAAAGGAGTTTTCTACTATTACTTTAGTTATGTTGTAGGTTTAGTTGGTGCTTAGACGTTTTAGAAATTGACGATATTAAAAAAAACACTCCTTTCCACATTTTCTTTAATCGACTTCAAAAGATAGGTAGCCATCAATGTTTTGTTTGTTTGGCACATCCTGGGGTTTCGTGAGGTCGTCCTGGCATTGGATGGAAAGATCGTTGTACATAATGCAGCAAGTATCTTTATATGATATAGGGGTCAAACGAGCAGACTCTTCACCTGATGGAAAGTGACTACCGCCGCCGATGAACGCCTGTAACTCAGAAGTCACGCGTTTGCCGGTCTTTGAGGGAGTACGTTCTTTCCGTGTACGAGGCTGACAGCACGTAGTTGTTTTTTTTTTAAAGACAACTCCCACATTAGAAAAATATCCTGTGTCACGGGGATCGATCTCACGTCTCAGTAATCGCTAAGCCAGTACTCACACAACAGAGTTAAACTGGTTTGTTTTAGTCGCGGGGGGCTTTACAAACATACATGAAGCGGACACAAAGAACACCCAGACTCTGAACAACTATTTGTGGATCACACAAAGTGTTGTCACATGTGGGGATCGAATCCAGAACACTTAGCACAGTAGGAAGTCGCGTGTCGACAGCTTAAACGACACATTCGTGTTTAGTTATATGCTTATTGTTATAATAATAAATAATAATAATAACAATAACTTCACACATTTCACACACGGCCGTCTGATCCCAAACTAGGCAGAGCCTGTGCTATGGTATCCAGACTGCTGATAAACATACTTATATATTTCTAAATACATACATATTATAGATAAATTACACCCAGACACAGAACAAATGACCGTGCTCATCACACAATATTTTTCCTGGGTGAGAATCGAACCCACGACCTCCAGCTAAGCAGTCAGGGCCACTAACCACTAGACCAACAGGCCCGTCTTATAACTCTTTTGATTCACACATGTGAGACACCTCGCATGACGATCATCATCACATCACATCAACAGCCTTTAATAGTCCACTGCTGGACATAGGCCTCTCCTTAGAAATTCGGTTTTGGCCTACTATACCACAATGGCCAGACGGGTTGGTATAGGGTTTGTGTCAAATTTTCCTTCTCTCTGCAGTGCTGTTGTCGCTTAGTCGCCTCTTACGACACCCACGGGATGAATAGGGGTGGTGACACTCTGTATTCTTAATCCGTCACCACACGGACCAATGGCGATCATCACTTCTTAATCAATAACGGATTGGCTCTTTGCAGCACTACCTAGCTGATGAATGAATCCAAGCGATTGAGAGGGCGGTGTAGCGGTGTCCGCCCTCTCAATAGTCGTGATAATGATGCCCCATAAGGGTTGAGTTAATGAACTCAATGGCTTTGACTATTGTTTTTAATTTATTATCATATAAATAAAACTTACTGTTTTAATTATAACAAATTTTCAGGCATGTTGTTCAGCTTATTATTTCTTTGTTTGTTTGGGTTTCTAAAGCTTATCGCTGCTAGAATTGATAAAACACATATGACCATTTTGCTGTTTACTTAATTATTTTTATTTATTCTTTGAATGCCCACATTTAATAATTACTATCCACTATAATTTTATAAGTGTCAAGCGTATTAACGTCAACTGGTCACATATATTTCTAAATACATACATATTATTAATAAATTACAACCAGACACAGAACAAATGATCGTGTTCATGACAAGATTATTTATCCGGAATGGGAATCGAACTCGCTATCTCTGGCTTAGCAGTTAGGATCGTTAAGCGCCAGACCAACAGGGGTTTGAGTCCAAATATTGTAAAAATATGGTAAGTACCTACTTCTCTTGGGAGCGTCTTTAATGTTAAATTGTGTCTGAGTAACTATGAAAATAAATCTATAATTTAAGATCTCGAAGCTGATCTGGTGATGAAGCCAAGAGGTGGACAGTGGAACTCTTCAGTAGCTGCTCGTAAACCGCTCTAGTTTGGACTCGTGTGATCATTATGACAAATTCAACAGATATTGTAGTAACCAATGAGTTGCACGGATGGCGTAGTCGTTTAAGCGGTCGCCACGCCGTTTACTACCACGTTGAGTGTTGTGGGTCCGATCCCCACATGGGACGACACTTTTTGTGATCCACAAATTGTTGTTCTGAGTCTGAGTGTTATTTGTGTCCGTTTCATTTATGTTTGGAAAGTCCCCCGCGACACAGGATAAATTCCTAATTCCTGTTCGAGTCGTCTTTAAAAAAAAAAAGATTGAATATCATTTTTACTATATTTTTTCTTTTAAATTTAAATTTAGAAATCAAGATCTCTATTCTTTTTCCTACATCATATTCTCATCCAAATTTGCAATGAATTTTTTCCCTTTCATGCAATCCTTCAGTCATTGCAAAAAGGTTTGGCTTTTTCTTTTGTGGCCGGTGCGTGGCTGACGCCACCCCTCCCTGGGAATGTAATCCTCCTTCGTACATAGTATGAAGCTAAATACTGTTAACGAAATGTTCAGATCAAGTAAGTTTGAAGTGAAAATTGTAATTACAAGATGTCACACTCGTCTTCCTACAATATCTAATATATAAATAAATTTCTCGTGTCACGGTGTTAGTAGTTGAACTCCTCCGAAACGGCTCTACCGATTTTCGTGAAATTTTGTGTGTATATCGGGTAGGTCTGAGAATCGGCCAACATCTATTTTTAATACAACTATTTTCTTTTTGTCAAAAAAAATGGAAATAACGTATATGGCAAAACAACGTTTCCCGGGCCAGCTAGTGTTGCTATATAAATCGTGGGTAATGAGACCCCCACTTTACATATTTGGATGTCACAAGGTTTTTGGCTCCAGTATATACCTACCAGGATCACAGATAAGTAATGCAATTACTTTATAAAGACTTTTCGCATGACCACTCTGTGGAAAAAGCTTATCACTTTATCCGAACAAATACGACCATCAAACCTTCAAGAAAAGACCGTACATCGCGTTTGTGACTCTGAGTTGGAGGTGTCCATGGTTAAAAATTGTCAAAAAAAAGTACAGAACTATCTAGAAAAGCAGTTCCCAGCCGTTGAGGCTAGAGTCTGGATTCTTATAGCACGTTAGCAGTGACGAACAGAGGCAGGTAGCCGACCCACATACTATTGCCGATCGCCGCTTTATCGAATGTTGATAAAACTTTAACTGCCACACTCTTACGGATAAGCCTGGGCGTGAAATCGACGCGCGCGCACCTAATTACAGTATACGGCATTGTGATATTTGTGTCAGGATTCTATGTGGTTGAACAGTATGCTCTCAGGGGGGACCTTCGCATGCTCTGCGGATGAACAACTAACTGTTATGACTAAAAAGAAATTAAGTTCTTTAGACTTTATGTGAAGATATGTAGTACTTGTGGATGAGATGAAACCAGGTGGATATCTTAAGGAAGAGTAGAATTGTGTCTCTTATTGTTTAATTGTAAAATCATCAACATAATCAATTAGTCCAGTGCTGGACATGACATGGACCTCTCCTTAGAAATTAGGGTTTAATGTAATCGCAGAACGACCTCCGTCCTCCATAAGCGCAGGCCTGGGGGTGACAGGTGAGGCCATCTGTCACCCTAGCAGAAGCAGGCCGGGGTGGCGGCGAGCGCATTGCGAAGCGCGCTCGCTTCCAGGGAGCAGAGGGAACATGGGGTTCCCACACGGGGGGGGGCGTCTACCTGTTGTTGTAGATGGCCCGAGGTATGTCGGGGCACCAGGGACTTCCTTTCTAGGGTACACCTGGTTCCCCGGCTATTAGTACCCGAGACGGCGTGCGGTTTTAGTCGGTTCGAGTCCGACATGCTACCGATAGGTGGTATCCGTAGGGATTTCCGTACGAAAAAAAGAAAGGGTTTAATGTAATATTAATAGTTATATATAAAACTTGTATCAAATTGTAGTTCAACAAAGAAATAGAGAAGAGTGAAGAAGGGAGGTGTAATCAGAGTTAGGGAGGAATTTTACTGAGATGAAAAGAGATAGCAGTACACTGAAAAGAATCCACAGAACAAAAAAAATCTTACTCGTATTCCACGAATGAACAAAGATTAAATTCGATATGGCTCTATGTTCTTATGTGTTCTAACACACTAATCTACAAATTGTTGCTTTGAGTCTGGGTGTTCCTTGTGTCGTATTCTTATATGTATTCCTATTAATAATCTTATATATAAAATTCTCGTGTCACAATGTTCGTTCCCGTACTCCTCCGAAACGGCTTGACCGATTCTCATGAAATTTTGTGTGCACATCGGGTAGGTCTGAGAATCGGCCAACATCTATTTTTCATACCCCTAAATGGTAAGGGTGACCCATCCCTATTTTTTTTTTGATTTGCAATACAACGTTTGCCGGGTCAGCTAGTATGTATATATATTCCTAATGCGTGTATTGTCTATTTTTTAAATTAACTCTACTCGTCTCACACTCCAATTGCATAGTATGAGTAATTTGAATAGTATGTGCTGTGGTAACTAGGCAAACTGCTGATAAACATACTTATAAAATTCTAAATAAATATACATTGGAGATAAATTACACCTCGAATTAGAACAAAAGATCGAGCTCACCACACAATTTTGTCCTGGGTGAAAGTCGAACTCACGACATCTGAGATCACTAAATACCAACAGGAGGTTCAAAGGTTTTGTAATGTACCTATGTAAATACATGTTACAAATGCATCATCATCATCAGCCTATTGCAGTCCACTTCTGTACATAGGCCTCTCTCCTTGCACGCCACTTAGATCGATTTTGGGCTTCTCGCATCCAGCTCCTGCCAGCCATCTTGCGCAAATCGTCACTCCACCTGGCCTGTGGGCGTCCTAGACTACGTTTGCCGAGACGCGGTCTCCACTCAAGAACTCGTTTTCCCCAACGGTTGTCGGTTCTGCGGCTAATATGGCCAGCCCACTGCCACTTCAGCTTGCTGATCCGGTAGGCTATGTCGGTGACCTGGTTCTCTGCCGGATTACCTCATTCCTGATCAAATGTTAAAAATTACGCGACGTTTTCTCAAACTTTATTTTAAATGTCTCTTTGAAACTGCCTGTCCCGTAGGTACTTTGTTGGTACACGATTTGAAGAAAATGAAATCAGAAATGTCCGCACTCCGCTGTTGAAATGCATACTGGGATTACCGGGTAATGTTACCGTGCGAGAACAATGCTTCGGCCCATTATATGCCGAATCGGCCTCACAGAAGACAGAAAGCCCTTTCGTTGCTTTACACTGCGTGATTGATAATATCGTAGCCCTAAGAAACCCTCCTCTTTCCACAATTCGCTAAAATATCGAGTAAAAGATACCTTTTTTAAAGTTTATTGTAGGATATTTAGTGTATCACGCATTACACGTGGATAAAATATAGGTTTAAAGAATGCAATGAAATTTATAAGAAGAAGCGGAAAGTCATGAAAGTATTGAATCTACTAACAACTTTAATCCTGGTGCTAAGCTGAACTGCTTTGGAATGGATGAAATAAATTTAATATGGCAAATAATTTCAATTTTTAGTTATGATTATCGGTGTATTAACTTTAAGTTTGTCAAATCGAACTGAAACTTAAACGTTGTTTATTTAAAAATATTTTTAAATAGTTTGTTTTCTATTTGTGCTTTTAAAACAGCAGATCCTGTATTTTTTGTATACCTAAAAAAATCTATTCCATTCTATCACATGTATAAACCAGTACCTTTACAAATCTTATTATATTTTAACCCTGACGATGAAATGTGAGAACGCCTGTAAGAAAATAATAGCAAATTGTAGTAAGACGTAACAGTACAGGCTGTTTTTCATTAGGCGATGTAAACCAAAATACTGTGATAAATGTGAAAACTCCTGTACGAATATTAATATCAAACTGTTGTAAGAAATAACGGAATAGACAAATGTTCAATAGGTCACTTTAATATAAGAGTTGTTTGTGGTATACGTCTAGGTCTACGCCCAGGGTCACCGCGAAAAGTAGCAAGTGCATTTATGCCCTTTTAGTTCCCCTCTCCCCTAGAGTTGGGGGGAAGGGACGGGGGGGGGGCGCCCTTGGGTCTCCGATAAACTCGCTCACTCGGTTAAAAGTAACGAAAGAAATGCCGGTAACACCGGTTTTCTGTAAGGCCGTTATATCGAACCCACCGGCCTTTTTTTGCCGAAACATGTAAAAGTTTCGTCGTACATTTTAATTTTTCACAATGGATATTTAAGGTAGGGTACATTATATCTATAACAGGCACCATAAACAGAAAATAATGGAAACTATAGGAACCAAAGTATACGCTGACAATTAACTAATAAAAACAATTTATTCATTTTAACTGCCTACATTCAATCTTCCAATGTTTGTTACCACAGAACTCTCATTTCATATCCAATTTCAAAACTCTTTTTTTATTCAAGGGAATATACTTCCTTGTTGTATCTTTTAAATTTAAAGCAAAAATAACCCTAACAGTGGCAAATTAAGGAATAAAGACTCCACTTTATTACAATTTATCATGATGTGGATGCATTGAATTCTGTGATGCTATTTCAAAAGTTAATCATTATTTAATTTCATTGACAGCCTTTTTTAAGATATAAGATTACTTTTGTTTTTTTGGTATCACCGTTCCAAGGAAAAATAGGGACTCTGTATATCCCTATAATTGTGGTTGTCGTAAGAGCTGACTAAGGGCGCAAAACAATGCAGGACACCAGCACTGCAAAAAGAAGGAAAATTACACAAACCCTTTATCAACCCGTCTGGCCAGCGTGGTATAGTAGGCCAAAACCTCCTTTCTAAGGAGAGGCCTATGTCCAACAGTTGACTAGTTTTCTATGTATTTTAATGCATTGAGCAGTTTTTTGTATATTTTCATGGGACCAGTCAGACTAGAAACATCGCCCTATAAAAACATGAAATTTTGAATATTCTCAATTTCATCTCTATGCAGACGACTACGTCGACAATATATCGTCATTGTAAGGCTGATGATCTTGCTGAAGCCGTCGCTGCCATCAATAATGATCTTAAGAACATTAATACTTGGGCTAAATCGTATGGACTGCTTGTCAATCCCGCGAAACCTCAAGCAACAGTTATTGGTGGCAGATATATATACAGTAGACTAATTCATTTCACACTACCTCCAGTTTTTTTCAACAATGGTCTCATTCCTTACTACTTTTCTGTGAAAAATCTCGGAGTTTTCATTGGCAGTTGCATGTCATGCACTACACATGTATTGAAATGATGAAATGATATTTATTTCTGAAACTAAATCTTTTCAGATATTTTTACAAGTCGGACTTTACAGCTAGATGGAGCCGGCATTTCCTAAGACTCACTCTGGGAAGAAACGCCGAAACAAACCACAGAGGTGTCTTTTTTTTAGCCCGTAAACAAATTTAAAGAAAACCTGTGCGAGTACAGTGTACGGCGGTCTGGGTAGGCCTCACTGTACTGTGACTGAGGTAAGTAAAAAAGTCTTTAATACCTATCATTCCCTAAAGCGGCTTCAAAAATTTCTTTTTTTTCATCGTTGTATTGTGTTATAGGTACATATTAGAGAATACATTACGCTATCTAATACACTCACATAAAAATCTCAATTATCTCAACGACTGAAAAAACGACTACCGCCGCCCATGGACCTACAACTCAAGATTCACAAGTGCGTTGCCGTCCTTTCACTCCCTCCCCATAATCAGGGGAAAGGTGAGGGTTTGGGCTTCTGTAACCTCATTCACTCTGTGAAAATCAATGAGAGAACTGCTTAACACGGCTTTCTGTTAGACCGTGGTACCACTTCGTTCAAGCCTGGCTCAAACATGGTTCTCCCACGGTATGATCATCTGGTACAAAGAAATAAATGCACTCTCTGACATTTGAGTTTTTGGTTTACGAGCCTGAGTCTAGTGGTTAGTGACCCTGACTGCTAATACGGAGGTCGTGGATTCGATTCCCAACTAGGAAAAATATTGTGTGTTCTGTGTCTGGATGTAATTTATTTATAATATGTATGTATTTAAATATATATAAGTATGTTTATCAGCAGTCTGGTTACCATAGCACAGGCTCTGCCTAGTTTGGGCTCAGTCGACCTCGTGTGAGATGTGTGAGGTATATAATTACATTTTATATTTAATTAATTATTTAAATTAAATACCTCGTTGATTAGTAAAAGCTTATCAGAAACGAGTCTTCTAATCACTTAATGGTTCTTCTGTGGATTTATCCTTAAACAAGTTATCATCCGAAGCGTGTGATTAACTATGTATAAACATACGTATGGAATATTACATACAATTATCCTGAAACGCTGGCTTTGTTGATACCAATAAGGCTTTATGTTTATGACATAACTTGTGACGCGTGTGTTTTAGGGGCCATCCGTAAACTACGTCGTACTCGAAGTGTGATTAAAATCCGGGGCCGGGTTTTTGATATCCGTATAGTTTGAATATTCGGATAGCATTTCCTACTCGGTACTTTAATTGGTTCCACTATCACCACAGTCATCTCTGGATCGTCACATTTGATGCAATAAGCAAGATTATAGTAATTGCTTCAGTGACGAGGCATTCTTGTTGATATGAGGTGTTCATTACCACAGATAACTAACAAACCATTGTGTGTAATATTGTTTATCACATATACCAGCTGATTATCATAATCAAACCACAATGCATTGCTCGGGAAATCCTCTGTGTAATGAAAGGAATCGTCCATTGCGTCCACACATTGGGATCAACAATCAAAACATACAAGAAGAAAATGCTTTGTCAGAGAATAAATTATTAAAGGAGATGGTTATCATCTCTGATTACCTATGTTTAGATATGTGAGATGTGGTTTAAGCGGTCGCCACGCAACTGGGTGTTCTTTGTGTCCGTTTCATGTATGTTTGTAAAGTCCCCGCGACACAGGATATATTCCTAATGCCTGAGTTGTCTTTTTAACAAAGAAAGAACAAAGTTTTCTTTTAAGTTACAGAGTTGAGGTTCCATAAATGCAATTGCCTATGACAAGGACGGGGAGGGGAAGTCATGAAATTCTTTCATTCACTGAAGCACAACTTAATAAAATTGAGCGACTTCAAAATCTCTGTATACGATTTGTAGTTAGGTTAAGAAAATATAATCACGTTTCTGAATTCCGTCAAAAGCTCAAGGGGCTTCCGATTCGCTCTCACCGGAATAGTCATTCCTCATTTTTCTTTATAATATCTTGTTCAATCCTAGAGCCCCTTTCTACCTCCAAAAACCGGTTCAAGTTCTTTAATGACACACATGAAAAATATCTAAGGTCATCCGAAGACTTGAGACTGGACATGCCTCTGCATTCCACAAAATTTCATGACCTATTTTTATACTGATGAAACTGTACGATTGTGGAATGCTTTGCCAATATACATCATGCAAATGTAAACATTACCTAGTTTTAAGAAAATGTTTCAATTATTTATGTATCTTAATTAAGTGAGTTACGTATTAAGGCATGATATGAATGTTTTTTGTATGTGATATACTAAATTAGTTGTAATGCATGTATCTATATTTGTTGGGGTGAATAAATATGTTTTGTGTGTAAATATTTATCTAATTTTACCTCTTTTATATTCATTAATAATAAAGAGTTTTCTATCTAAAATTAATAATTCACAACTTTATCGCAGATCATTTCAGATTCAGGGATTATATTGAACTAGCTCTTGCCTACATACATACAGCTTTACCGCCCTAAACTTTGTTTTTTTAACCTCGGGAACATTACATCTCCTCTAATCGAAAGTAAAACCTTTTCTGGGAGACAGAAAGGATAAACTATATCCTTCTCTGATAGTACATACATATGAGCAGACTCAACTAGAGTGATACCACGTTTGCACAGAAAACGCTGTTAAGCATTTCTTCGATACTTTTACAGACTAGGTGAGGTCGAGTAGAGTCCAAGCTCATCTTCTCCCGATTCTGGGGTGAAGGATCTAAAGGGTAGCAACATATTTATGACTCTTGTATCCATAAGCAGCGGTAGTTACTTACCGTCAGGTGGCCGGTACGCTCATTCGCGACTCTATCTCTTAAAAAAAATCTATCACACTTTTACATTTTCTTGATTTTACCGAGGCAGGGATATGACGGGGTACCTATTAACGGTGTAAAGATTTTTTATATGTGTGACATACTGATATTGATATACTTAGCGGGTTTAGTTCTAGATGGTCCGTCCAACCAAGCTTAGGTATTACCTACCTAAGATAAAATACTATAAAAACTCTATTAAAAAGTTAAAAACTCTGTGTTGACAAATAATTTTTTGTTTTTTATTGTTTTCAAACGATATAAATAATCAATTTGATTCGGTTTAAAACCAAACTCACACTCTCGCACTTGCGCGATATTTATATATATATATATATATATATATATTCTTTTCATGATATAGCAATGTTGTTGATATAACCATTGATGACCCATATTACTATATCGACAGTACATTGAAACTTGGAATTTATGTTAGTAGAATACCGATATTTTGACCGATGTCAGTGGCATCTGAATGGAATGACAGTGGCTTGGCGTTAACATAAAATAGCAGAATTGAGGCCCGGTCTATTGTAAGTATTACGATCGCGTTCAGAAAATACTAGTCTTCCTCCACGCTGTGTTCTACAGTTTGTTTAAGAACAATGTGGCGGATAAGAATTCGAATTCCCTCTGCTAATTGTTATTGCAATAAAAATATACTTGTAGGTACGTATCCGATTCTACCTAATTTCAAAAGTAATAGACGGAGAAAATTTTCTACTCTGCTTTTATTATTGAAGTTGAAAATCTTCTATCTCTTTTTTGCCTTAGTTCAATGAGTGGTTAATTTTTACCGTTATTTACAGTCGCATACTTGACGGTGTCAATTTCATTAGAGCTAAAAAATTATAGGGATTTAATTTGTTCATGCAATATTTTTGTGTCCATTTTTAATATTGAACTACTCCGAGCTGCATTACTAATTTACGTTTAGATATTTTTTTACATTTCTTCCTACAATGTGCTGTGATGGGTTCCTACATATGATGGGTCCAGAATGCGCCTTGTGGTATCCCACCTTACATACTACACATCACACATCAAGTATACATCCATTATATCATTTCACTGTTACGGATGTTCTGCCAATATAAAATAAAAGGGAGAAAGCACTAATAAGATATCTCTTTTCCACTTTATACGCCTTTCTCTCGAGTTACACTCTGTAAAACGCTTAAGCAAAACCTATTTTCTGTTATCCTTCAAATTCAATTATTTTATTTTGCATTTTATAAATCAAAAATTGTATGTTATTTTCCAAAATAAAATTAAAAAATCCTATGATGAATATACAGTAGCCTCATTAAGGTTGTTGCCCTATAGTCTATATACAATTGTATATGCTCAGGTGTACTTAAACAATCATGCTGGCTTACTGTATTATTCATGCTTAGGTTCATAGCCAACATCGAATCGATGGGAAAAATTACAGGTGACGCATTATTCTGCGTCAGCTACCTATACATATACCTACTTGAGAAAGCGTATTTTATTTTATTTATAATTTAGACGTAGAGAGATGTAATAAAAACATCGTATTGCTTGATAAGATAATGGTGTCAAACATAATTAAGTAACGGTCTCATAAATATATAAAATTAAATAAAGAACGCGGGAAAAGAAATGCTAGTTGACTGTCATATTTTTTAAAGGAGGCTAAGGAAACATAATAACGTATTGTTTCTTCAAGTAATATGTAGACTAAAGTATTATCCTATAAAGGTCAGTTGTTTCAACGTACTGACCAGCCGCGTCGACCGACAAGCCGCACGACGCACGTTATCAACTACAAACCTCTCCACACAAAAATCTCGAACAGGAATACCGGATACCATGGTAGCATAACCAAACTATTCTTATCTCTTTCCAACACACCGACCGAGTGCACTGCTTGATGTTCTTCTCGCTCGCACAACGGCGATGCAATATCGCGCTATGCTTATAGTTAGAAATATGTAACTGAATAGTTTACTTTTGTGTGTAGTTTTGCCAAGTTGATGTCGCTCCGAATTAGATTCCCTCTGATTCGTTGTATGTGTCGTTTATTGAGAAATCTGTGAAGTGTATTATGAATTAATTTGACAGAGTGTAGTGACGTCGTGTTATTTTTTTTCTGGTGACTAAAGTTAAAATATGTTGTGGCGAACGATGGCGCGCAAACCTCACATATTTTAGATTCCAATATTAAACGAAAGTTATTATAATTACTGATTATGTGCACTGTTTACAAATAAATAAGTGGTTTTAATGTGAACATGAGTAACAGGAGATTTTCTTTTATAGAAGTAAGTTATATTTTTACAATATTGTTACTTTTTTTTTAATTAAAAAAAAGATTATTAAAATGTTATTTGAAAAAAGATGTTAAATATTTTACATCTTAACAGACAAACAAAGATCTGGCTCAAAGCCAAAACAAACTAAAATTATCACAGGATTTATTAAGAGTGATCGGACCCAGTTATTTTTTTTTTACATTACTAAAAGAATCATACCTAATTAATTTGTCAACGTAATAAGTATATCGAAAAAAAAACACGTATTTCTGCATTTTCATTTCACTATGCAATTCAATGCATTGCATTTCACATTCATTGCATTAAAAAGGAACAGAATTTGCATTCTGCAGTCATCTACGCTAGATTGTTGGTACGCAAATCGATTTTTACATTTAAAGCACGAATATTTACATTTAGAATCGTGTGTTTTATTTGATTAAAGCGTACCTAGAGGACGGAGGAAAACTTCACGTACCTACAGCGAATCGTAGGTATGTTTTGTATTGGAAATCTTACGCTACGTTTGTACTATACGACTTGTATTTTATAAATGTCGATGAAGATTTTCGTCTTTAAAATGCAAATTATTTACATTTTAAATTATGACAGACGAAAGTATTGAAATAAAGTATTATAGTTCTTATCTTAGTCTTATAGAATAACTTTTTAAGGTTTAAATACTTTAAAAATAATGTTAAAATACCTTTGAGAGTCTGGCACCCTTCTTAAGCCCGATTTATAAATTCATAATTAACAGACATTAGGTACAGAGAAAAAAATACCAAATTAAAGATAATATGTCATTCAAATATACACTTAACTAGCTTTCACCCGCGTATTTAATTTTAAATCCTTCACAAACAGTAGGTAGGTATATATTTCTGGATTGAAGTGTCTTTAATTAGGTAGCTAAATAAAGCTAGATCCAAAAGAGCGAAATCCGACCATAATTAATTTCTCTTTCCTCTCCCAACAGCCGCCATGGCCCTGTGTCCTCTGCTTTACGCATCTAAATTGAAAGAAAATTTGGCATGCCTATATCGTAATAAATATTTTTAAGAAATAAATATCCATGCGCACGCCCTTAACCTTCCACCATAAATTCAACCACTTCAAGTCACCATGAATATTTCAGATATCTGCAACAATAATCGTCATATTTCATCAAATTTATAGAAAACCCTAATACCTAAATTTTCCTCATGGATCACTCCATCAATTGATTGGTAGCCTTATGATGTTAGATATTTTTAGAGCTCAGATCAAATAAAAGAATAGGTACCTACCATCTTAACTTTTTTATTTGATCTGAGTTTTGAAGTGTATGCGTCGATAAAATTAAAAAGAAAGACACATAAACAGTGGGAACATTAATTTTACAACTCATATTGTTATAATATGTATTGTAAAGAGAACACTAATTACATAACTTTTTTGTTATTAACCGACTTCAAAAAAGTTCTTAATTCAGAGGGCTGAGAGGAAGTTTATTTCACATCGACTAGCTCTCGATGGCGATCGCGTTTAGCGTTGCGATTGGTGGAGATTTCAGTGCGGGCCAATCGTAATCGTAATCTAAACGCGGTCACGGAGACGATCGAGTAGAAGTGACATAAACTCACACTTGGCGCTCAGTTGTATTTTTTTCGCGTTAATTATGTTTGTTACTTTAGAACCTCGTTATTTATGAACCGATCAGGGAAAGTATACTAGGGTAGAGTAGCGTGGATAATTGAAGAATGAGGAATACGGTTTAATACAATTTATCATGATGAAGTAGATATTAAGTATGTTATACCCATTGCGATATAAGCAGAGAAAACACGGGTAGATACAGCTGCCTGTAAGTGGCACAGGCAACGAGAGAGATGGATGCCCGATAGTTCTCTCTGTCTCTGTTTAGCTAAGCTGCGATGGGCTATCGTGAAGTGGGCATTCATCCCTTATATCCAGCCACAAACAGAACTCGACTAGAAAGAGATAGAGGGAACAGAACGTTCCCTCCATCTCTCTCGTTGTCTATATTACAAGATTTGAGCTCTTGTTCACTATGCTTATGTCTTTTTTGTTACACCTGTTTTTAAATGTGAATTATTAATTTTGATGCCTCCTGTCGGGGAGTCGTAATGAACGCTTAGAACATCTCTTTTGCTGATCTAAGTAGTGGCATAATACAATAATTTACTATTAGTCATTTTCTTAGTACAGCTAATACGTCGTTTTCATCTAAGTATATCGTAAAAATATAATCGTACACAACTCATTAGAGTGGTTTAAACAGCTTCAAGATTTATGTATATTTAAAATGAAGTTTATGTTCAAACATCAATACATATAAGAATTTTAAGTCTGTTTGTGTACACTTCAGAATCTCAAAAAGTTCTGCAACGAAACATCTCAAATTTTGACACGATATGCAACTTTTTTTTACATGTGGCAAACCCCCCCCCCAACCGCCCCCCACCACCGGGCCGTCATCTGAACGGGGTATACATGGGAATCGACCTGACTAAAACCAGACGATGTGCCACTGCCACTATGCTCCTGTAATAGGAAGGATCCGGGAACTGCTGTTATTAAGACATCCGGAGTAACCAGGACCACAAGATTTCTATTTTTCTTGTTAGTTTTCTTCCTCATTTCAATGAGCAATAGCGAAGCTTGGCAAGGAACAGCTAGTGTCGTATAAATTTATTGTACACGAGTCATTAAAACAGCTTCAAGATTTATATATGTCTAAAACGAAGTCTGCATTCAAACAAAGACTGAGTATTTGTTTATTGTAGAAATAGACTCAAGAATAGTGGAGCCGGATAACATAAAGATATAGATCCGGGTTACGTAAAGTGACCTGAATGACAATTTTATTACCCTATTTAAGAAGTATTTAATTGTCTATTAAACACAATTTATTTTACAAAGCTAGCTTAATTAGTTTCCGGGATTTTCAAGTATCTTTATTAGCACCATTGGTGCTAATTCTGTTGTTCGAAAACTCTCTAAACAAAACTAAAAATCACTAGAAATTTTGTTTAGAACTGTCAAGTACTACGTTTTTAGTGATTTTTAGTTTAGTTTAGAGAGTTTCTGAACAACACAATTAGCACCAATGTTCTCTAGTGTATTTTTTAGGTTTTTACCGATAAATTAGGATATGTAATGGGTTTGTTAACTTACTGTTTTAGAACACATCTTGTTATTTATTCATTTACTCGAAGAAGTACATATTGATATGATGGATGAGTCGACCCGTGACCACATCCGAAGTATTTATAACGTTATTTAATTACCTACCGGTTAACGAGCAAGATACACCTATTTTATATACTCGGAGGCAATGAATTCGGATCACATATATCTAAAGATTACTGAAATTTTCTGGTGTATTTATGTGACCCGGAATCATTGCTCTCAATGTCAATTGTAGTTTTGTTGCCAAATGTGTATTAGTATTTGTTACACATGTTATATTGCCGTGGCTAAACCCTAGTGATAAAGTATTGGAAGTTAAAGTACGAAATTGCCGAGTTGTACTGAAAAATTGTAACTCGTTTGAGCCTGGGTCAGCCATTGCATTTTTCGCTTAAGTACGGTTATCTTAAACAATCCAGTTTTTAGTCATGTCTGTACCGATTCAAGAAGGCAACACAAGTTTCAACACGCATTTTTTTCTGCAGATCAATCAAATCATGAGACGCCCATTATTCATATTTTTATCTGATTGATTTGATGAAAATGAATCAATATTGTAGGTAGGATAACGTTAAACCATGCCGCTAATTCTTGGCTAGTTTGACTCGGATCGGCTTCCACCGTCTCCTTCAATTCAGCGTTATTCACCTGTGTGGTCTTCTACGTGGTTCGTTCTTCAAGTCCAAGTGTCCATTACGAAAGCGTTTAAACCAAAAACGCACGGTGCGTTCATTAGCAGTCTCCTCCTTCGCTAAACGCAGCGTTGACGTCGGAACACGTATTAAAGTAGAGTACAGTATCTATTACTATACAACGGCAATTTCATATTTTATCCATACCTCGTTTATTATAAATTAACATATCATTTGTTTGTCTATTGTTTTGCTCCTTTATTAAACGTTTATTTTTTCCTTGTAGGTATAATTCATTAAACATTTTATTAACACTGATCCAGAGCGGTAAGAATACATAGTAAAACGAAATCAAAGCAGGAAAATTATATCGCATTTAGTGAGTAATTTTGAATGACGCCATTTTTCCTTAATATCATCGCACGTTATTTATAGCTATATTCGTTTCAAGTTTAGTTCTATGAACAATAGAAAGAGTAAAGACACAAGCTTTGTTTTTTTTTTAAATCCAATCCAGTCTTTGGTCTTTGTCCATTTAAATTCCGAAGTTTTATTGTTTTTAGTACTGGTTAGTTGCACTTTAAATAAAGAAAACCACACTTTTGGTGTTTTTTTTTGTGGTCACGGAGCCAAAGAATGAGTTCGAAATAATGTAGTTAAGTATGAAATAGGCTTTGTTCGATATAATTTCGGAAAAATTGCTATTCCAGGCTATAATCTATCTTTGTGACAAGTTTCATCTAGATCCTTTCAGTCGTGTTGGCGTGGTTGAGTAACAACCCTATCAAAACTTTCGCATTTATAATACCTATATTAAGAAATGTCCGTGTGGTGACAGAGTAAGAATTCAGAGTATCACCACCCCTTTTCATCCTGTGGGCGTCGTAAGAATCGATTAAGGGAGCAAACTACGTAGGACAGCAGCACTGCAAAGTGTAGGAAAACTGGAAACAAACCGAATGGCGAATACCAACCCGTCTGGCTAGCGTGGTATAGTAGGCCAACACTTCCTTTCTAAGGAGAGGCCTACGTCCAGCAGTGGACTAGTATAGGCTGTTGATTGATTGATTGAATAATAGAGAAAGATATCTCAATTTTTTATGACCATACAATATTCAATGACCTTACCAATAACTATACAAGCTGTTGATATTTTATTGTTTATTATTCAAAGATATTAAA